GATCTCCAGTCAGCGCTTGCTCCCCCGCCCGCCTCCCCTCGATCACCCCAAACCGCGGCCCCCCACTCTCCCGCTCACCCCGCCAGCCAGCTTCCCCCCCACGTGGGCGGCAGGGGGCGTGGCTGGCAGGCAGGAAGCCCCTCTATTGACATCCCTTTTCTGCTCTCGAGGTTCCAGGGTCCCGTCTAGGCATCGCGGCTCTCTATCGCTTTAACCCTGCCAGAGACGTGGGGTGGATGTGAGGCTGCATTTTTAACTGTTTCCTAGGTCTGTACTATTTCCTAGGTCTGTTGCTGCGTCTGTTTAATTCCACTGCATTGTTATACCGTCTTTTTTTCTCCTTGCGAGGAACCCAAGGCGCCCAAAGCTCCATCTGAGCCTCACAACAACAACCCAGTGAGGTAGGCTAGGCTGAGCGTGAAGAACTGGTTTAAAATCACCCAGGAAGCTTCGTGGCCGAGAAGGTACTAGAACCCGGATTTCCCAAGTCCCGGTCCAACATTAGACCGCACTGGCTCTTCATTTATTGTTGTGCATCTCTCCTGCTGTAAATTATTAATTTCTAGAGATGCTGATGGAAGGAAGGAGGTTGCCATAGGGCAGACTAGCTAGCTTGCCAGGAGCCCTTCTTATCCCTGGTTGATGATAGAGTTGTAATCCAGCACAGCTCGAAGAAAGCCAGTTAGAGCGAAGGCTGGCTTTTGGCCCTTGACTCAAATGGACAAAGGGGTCTTCCTATGAAGCTGATGGGTGGGAGATGCAGGACAGAGAGGAGGAAGGACTTCCTCACCCAGCGAAGAGTCAAACTATGGGATTAACTTCCATGAAATGCAGTGATGGCTCCTCCAAGGGGATTAGGCAAATTCATGCAGAAGCAATCCATGGCTACTAGTCCTCATGGCCATAGGCTACCTCCAGTATCGGGTAGAGTGCCAATACAGACTAATTTTAGGGGAATATGGAGGGGGGGTGCTGTTGTTTACAGTCTGTTGTAAGGTTCCATGCTTCGCCATGGTTTCCCCAGTTGCCTTAACTCAGCACTGTGGTTTCCACAGTCCTGGTGTGTGGAAACCTCTGGAAAGAGCAGCAGCTACAGGAGCTGCTCCAGCCATTCAGTGTGGATTCTATTTCCAGTGCAGTGGCTGATGGGATGCAGAGGGAGGATTAAGTGAGGGAGGTGGAAACTACCCTAGCATAGAAACCCCTTGATCATCTGTCAGGCACACCCAGGCAAAAAAACCACACATCATGGAAACCATGCAGGGTTGCTCGAGTGACATGGGAAACCAGCCACTCTTTTAAATGGTTTACCAGGTATGGAAGTGGAAATGGATTCTCCACACCACTTCTGAAGGCTCAAAGACTAATACTGCAACCATGAAAGGATAAACTTCCATCTCCAATAATGCAATGGATTTCTTCCTGAGAAAATCCTTTTCTCCCAAATACTTTGGGGCCATGCCTGCTACTGAAGGATCCTGTAAGCTGGAGGCAGGCAACTGGTGACCTCCCAAATGTTCTGGCCTACAATTCCCATCAGCCCTAGCCACTGCAGCCAATGGCCAAGCCAGTGTGGGCCAAAACACCTGCAGGTCCAAAGTTGCCTGGAACCCCGGAGAGCTGCCGTTAGTCAGTGTTGGGGGCGCTCAGCTAGATGGGTCTATGGTCTGACTCAATATAAAGACAGCTTATGTTCCTTTGAAATTGTGTCCTCTTTTTTAGAAACATGAGGACTAGAACTTTAAAAACTGGAAGATGCATAAGTCTTGGGGGACATGCAAGAGCGGAGCCACACCACAGTGGGAAAGGTCCTGCTTTGCACGTAGAACATTTCACCTTTGAGCCTGGCGTGTCCAGGCAAGGTTGGATAAACTCCTGCCAGAAACCCTGATGATTCAATCTGCCAAAATAGGCTAGATTGATCCAGGGTCCAAATCAGATCCCGCCTAATCATGGAAGCTAAGCAGGGTCAGGCCTGGTTGGAATCCGGATGGGTGACTTAAAATGTTGTGAACTGCCCAGAGAGCTTCTGTTATGAATGGTAAAGAAATGTTGTTGTTATCGGGGGAACGGCTGTAGCTCAGTGGTAAAGCACCTTAGTTCTGTATAGCACCTGAGCTGGTAAGGCTTTATAGGTCAAAACCAGAACCTTGGAAATATTCACAACAGTGAGTGCTGGCAAGCCAGAACGGGTGTTCTACGTCCAGGTTTTCTAGTCTCTGTTATCATTCTGCCTGCTCCATTTGTCACAAGCTGAACTGTCTTCAAAAGATTATCCCCTTTTTAAATCGGCCATTTCAAACTGATTTCTCTTTCTCATCAGACAGATTGCAAGCAAGAATGCCAGGATGGAGAGAGGAATTGTCCACTGGGGAATCCTGAAGGAAATAAAACCCTGGGGGAAAGCCACAATGGTTATTTTTTGGCCTCTTGAGTCACGGGAAGCTTTGGAGCATTTTCAGCAAGCATTCAAGGGGTACAGTGGCTACTTAAGGCCTGGAGAGGGGAAATTAGATTCTCATGGGGCCTTTGACAAGGTTTCCTATGAGAAGCCCCTTGAACAGAAGAAGAAAACCTGTGGTGTATTTGAGACAAGTGTTAGGCAGCTTTTTATTATTATTATTATTATTATTATTATTATTATTATTATTATTATTACATTTCTATGCCGCCCCTTGCCGAAGCCTCGGGGCGGCTTACAACACAATAAAATACATTGAAATACAATAGCACATAATAAATTACCATTAAATACAAAAATACAAAAAATACATTGAGTTACAAACATAATAATATAAAATTAAAATTATCAGTATAAAATAAGTAAATAAATAACATAGGAGGAGAAAAGAGAAGGAAGAAGAAGTTGCCCTGGCCAGATCATATATTTTAACAATTAAAATGATGTTTAAATAAAAAGGTCTTTACCTGGCGCCGAAAAACCAGTAACGACGGTGCCAGGTGGACCTCTTTGGGGAGTGAATTCCATAGGTTGGGCGCCACTGCAGAGAAAGCCCTCCTCCGAGTACTTACTCTCCTAATTTCTTTCATGGAGGGTTCTCGGAGAAGGGACTCTCCCGCAGATCTCAAAGGGCGGTCGGGCATATACGGACGTAAGCGCTCGTTCAGGTAGCCCGGACCCAAGCCATTTAGGGCTTTATAGGTCATAATCAACACCTTGAATTGGGCCCGGGCTTCAATGGGCAGCCAGTGAAGCTGACGGAGGACTGGGGTCATGTGAGCATAACGCCCCGTCCCCGTCAGCAACCTGGCAGCTCTATTTTGCACCAATTGAAGTGTTCGGACTGTCTTCAGGGGAAGCCCCACGTAAAGCACGTTACAGAAGTCTAGGCGGGAAGTCACCAGCGCGTGTGTCACCGTCGCCAGGCAGTCGTACTCCAGGTAGGGGCGCAGCTGATTAATCAGCCGAAGCTGAAGGAAGGCGCTCCTCGCCACCGCTGTCACCTGAGCTTCCAAAGAAAGCTCCGGGTCGAGGAGTACTCCTAAGCTGCGGACCTTATCCCTAAGAGGGAGTGTTGCACCATTCAGGACCAGGTCAAATCCACCCTCTCCGAAACCCGATCCGCCAACCAACAGGACCTCCGTCTTGTCTGGGTTGAGTTTCAGTTTATTTGCCCTCATCCATTCCCTTACCTCAGCCAAGCACCGGTTCAGCACAGCCACTGCCTCACCTGGATAGTTGCGAAGTCGTGTCCAACCCATCGCAACTTATTTTATATTGTTATTTTTGTGTTTTAACTTTATGTCTACACTTTACAAACATTTTAATTTAAGGTTATAATTTAATGTTTGTATTTTAACTTAATATATTTGTATTTTAACTTAATGTTGTAAGCCGCCCCGAGGCTTCGGCGAATGGGGCGGCATAAAAATGTCTTTATAAATAAATAAATAAACCCCATGGACAACATTCCTCCAGGCCTTCCTGTCCTCCACCATCCCCAGGAGTCCATCCAAGCTCACACCAGTTGCTTCTGTGACTCCATCCAGCCACCTCATCCTCTGCCGCCCCCTTCTTCTTTTGCCCTCAATTGTTCCCAGCATTAGGCTCTTCTCCAGGGAGTCCTTTCTTCTCATTAGGTAGCTTAATGACTGCCAAAACCACACAAAATGGAGGGTTTTTAGATGGCATGTTTGGGAGAAAACATACATGTGCCCTGATTGTCTGAAAATGTTTATTTACAAGGGAACTTTCATTAGACATCAGCAAACACAGTCGAGGGAGAAGCCATATAAATGCCTGGAGTGTGAACAGAGATTCAGCTGAAGAACGCATCCCATGGCCCATCAGAGAACTCACTGTGGAGAGAAATCATACACTTGTCCCGACCATGGGAAATGCTTCACCTGCAGGAGAAGCTTCTGAGCTCATCACAAAATACACTCAGCAGAAAAACCACACACAGGCACTGACTGTGGGAAAAGTTTCTTTCAGAAGTATCACCTTATTATACATCAGAGAATGCACACAGGAGAGAAATGCTATGCTTGTCGAGACTGTAGGAAAAGCTTTGTTTGGAAAGACAGTCTTGTTACCCACCAGAGGATACATACTGGAGAGAAACCTCATGCATCCCCACACTGTGGCAAATGCGTCACTTGCAGAAAAAGTTTACAAATCCATCAGAAAATCCATACTGCAGAAAAACTACCTATCTGTCCAGTCTGCAGGAAAAGCTTTCTTTGGAAGAGCAGCCTTCTTAACCATCAGAGAATCCATTCTGGAGAGAAACCATACACATATCAACACTGTAGCAACTGCTTTACTAGCAGGAAATGTTTATAAACCCACCAGAAAATCCACAGTGCAAAAAAACTTCATACCTGTTCTGAATGTGGGAAAAACTTTCTTTGGAAATGTCATCTTCTTAAACATCAGAGAACCCGCACTGAGGAGAAATTCTATGCATTTCCAGACTTTAGGAATAATTTCACATGCAGCTTCCAAGTATGCAGGAGAATCCACACAAAAGAAAAACTTCAGAAATGCATGGACTCTGAAGAAAGCTTCCTTTGGGAAGGCAGTCTTTATGACTTAAACAGGAGAGGCCCAGTACATATATCCAGACAATGGGGTAGCCCACCAGAAAATCCATATATGACCCTTCAAAAGGGGTGTCTTTTTTTAACCCTCAGCTCATCCATCCTGTGGCTCATCCATCCTGTGGCAAAACCACAGAAATGAGCAGAATGTAGCATTTTCCAACAGAACCAACAACTTATTCAATGCAGAAGATTTTCTATGACAGAACTTTAATCTTATGCCATGCAACAACAAATACTCAATAAGCTAATTAAAAGCACTGACTAGGATCTCCCCCAAATGTACTTCTGTGTTTGCTTACTTGTTTTTTTAAATAATTATCTTGCTTTTCTACAAAATAAAAATGCGGCACCACTTTACAACAGAGCACCTGTATCCGGCGTCATCTCTTGCAGCTGTCTAGATTTCTAGATTACAGGGGTGTGGAACTCCAGGCAGCCCAGGGGTCCCTTGAAGGCAGCACCGACTTTCCCTGGGCACATATCTCCCCGGTCCACTTCACCAGATACAAAAAGACATGTGTTATCCAATACAAAAAGAACAAAGAGTTTTGTGGCATTTCGGAGATTAACAACTGGAATTGTATTCTGGAATATTATTATATTTCATTTATATCCAGCCTTTTTCTCCTCTTGTGAGGAACCCAATGTGGTTCACAATCCTCCTCTATTCCATTGTATCCTCAGAAAAGCAACCCTGTGAGGTGGGTCAGGCTGAGAGTCAGTGACTGGCCCAAAGTCACCCAGGGAGCTTCATGGCAGAGCAAGGATTTCCTAAGTCCCCAGACCAACACTAGAAACACTGTCCTAAATAGCCTGTCATGCAAACCCAATCAGTGTGGCTTTTGGCTTTCCATCTGTTGAGTGGAAAGTGTTTTGGGGCAGTTGCTGGCCGGGGGTGGGGGGGTGAGGGCAGTGGTTAGAGCTGGAGGAGAGGTGGGGGTGGGAAAGCAAAGGAGGGGGTGGTCTCTGGCAGTGCCTGAGGGGAGAAAACCCAGCCAAGGAATGAGGAGAGAGCAAAGCCATTTGGAATTTGTATTATCAGAACTGCATTACTGGAATTTGTATATTAAGTGATATTTATTTTTATTTTTATTTTATTTATTTATTAAAACATTTCTATGCCACCCCATTCGCCAAAGCCTCGGGGCGGCTCACAACATGAAGTAAAATACAAAAATAATAATATAAAAATAACAATATAAAATAAGTAACAATATAAAATAAGTCGCCCTGGCCAGATAAAATAAGCAAATACTGTTAACAATTAAAATGACGCTTCAATAAAAAGGTCTTCGCCTGGCGCTGAAAAACAAATAACGACGGCGCCAGGCGGACCTCTCTGGGGATACACAAAAATAATACACAAAACAACATGATACACAAAACAACATAATTAGGCGGACAAGGAGAGGGTCATGATCTGGAATTGGGATTCTCCCACACCCTGCTTTTCACGGAAGGGGTTGGTCTGTGCAGCAGGCCCATTTGGCATGTGACCCAATCCTTCTCAGTCCAAAATTCTTGGGTCCAATGCTCAAGAATACCCTTTCCCTGATGGGGACACATTGGAGACACTTTAAAAAACTGCTTTGTAGGGATCAGCTGGAAGGCAGGAAAGAAAGAAAGGTCATTAACTCTTATTTTTATTTATTTATTTAAAACATTTGTATGCTGCCCAATTGTGCCACAGCACCTCCGGGCAGCTCACAACACAAGCTAAAAACACAATAAAACATAATAAAAAGCATAATATATTTTAAAAACAACAATAAAATACAGTAAAACAAAGGTCTATGGCAATTAGTTATTAAATGTTTTTTTAAAAGGAAGGTCTTTGCCTGGCGCCGAAAAGAAAGTAAGGAAGGCACCAGGTGGATCTCCTTGGGAAGAGCATTCCAGATATGGGGGGCAGCTGCAGGGAAGGCCCTCCTCCCGGCAGCCATCCCTCCCACCTCCCCAAGGGATGGCTCACACAGGAGGGGCCCCCGCGTAGATCCCAAAGGCCAGGCAGGCACATGTGGGTGCAAATGCTCCCTGGGATAACTTGGCCCTAAGCCGTTCAGGGCTTTACATGTCAACACAAGCACCTTGAATTGGGCCCGGGCCACAATTGGTACCCAGTGAAGGTCTTTCAGGACAGGTGTTATGTGGGCCAGTCCATCACCAACCAAGCAGCCCTATTCTGTCCCAATTGTAACTGTCGGCCCGTCTTCAAGGGCAGCCCCACACAGAGCGCATTGCAGTAGTCTATTTAGGATGTTAACTGTACACGGGTGACTGTTTTCAGGCTGTGCCTGTCCAGCAGGGACGAAGCTGGTGTATCTTCCATAGCTGGAGGAAAGCATCCCTTGTTAATCACCCAGAGAGCCTCTGCTATTGGGAGCTATAAAAATGAAATGAAATGAATAAAATAAGGATGCTTTGTGTATGGAGGGAAACGCAACGGTGTCTGGCAGAAGGGGTGTGACAGATACCAACATGACGATCTCAGGCATTTTCTGGCAGTGGAAGTCCAAGACAATTTTCCGAAATGCCAGTTGTGCTTACTGGTCCCTAAAAGTTTGAGGCCACCTGCTCTAAAAGCCATTTTCCCAGAATAGGGGTCGGGCAGAAAGTGGGAGATCCCTGCCCGGCTTTGACTGCCTCCCCTTCAGTTTGTCCTTTCTTATTTTAATCCTAGACCCCAAGAGCTGGGCAGACCCTTTTTTCAGACCCCAACCACCATTTGGGGCATAAGAACATAAAACACAATTTTTAAAACGCGCAAGCTGCCCAGTTCTCCAGGCCTCTTATTCAGGCTGTGGCGGCACACAAAGCGGGGGATCGCGGCGTGGGATCAGAAAGGGGAAAAGAAACGGGCGAATTACACCCAGGGCCCCTCTCTCCGCACCCCCAGAGCTTTTTATAGAAACAGGAACTCGCTCTCTTCCGGGAACTCCGCTGCAAGGACCGCAGCAAACAGCGGTGCGCTTGGCTACTTCCTCCTTTCTCTTCTCTTCCCTTTTCTGAGGCGATCCCTGCTGGATCTCTCTTAGCCGGGCAAGGGGGAGAAAATTGCTCTCCTTTTAGGAGAGAGAGAGAGAGAGAGATCAGCTGCCGAAGGGTTAAAGCCACCGGATTCCCGGCTTCGCTGTCCTAGGGAAGGTTCAGTTGCGAAAACCACTTCCTTTCCTCCTCCTCCTCCTCCTGCTCCTTGGGAAAACTAAGCGGGGCACTGGTGAGCTACTTGGGGGTCTGGGGAGCCCCCTGTGTAGGGAAGCGGTGGGGCGGGTGTCGGGGCGCCCGCTTTGCAAAAAGGGGACCCCGGTTCGGAGCCTTCGCGAGCTGGGAGAGGCACGGCGCTGGCCCCCCGCCCCCCCTGGGGCCGCTGGGGAGCTGCTTCCTTTGGGGTAGAATAATCTTTGGGAATTGATTATTATATGATTTGGGGGCCCCTGTCCGATCCTTACGTCGCCTCTTGCAAGGAGTACCGTGTGTGGTGTGTGCTTGTATTTTATGTGTGTGTTGGGGGAGGGGGTTATCAAGCAACGGTGGGGAAGCAGCAGGCAGCTCGATGGCGTTGGACTCCAGTTCCTATCAGCCCCAGCCAGCACACCTCGCGGACGGGGAGGTTGGGCTTGTAGCCCGATTTCTGGAGTGTCTTTTTCTTATTTAGAGCAGGGCTGGGGAACTGGTGGCTTCCCGGCTCCCACTGGCCCTTGCCAACATAGCCAATAGCTGATTAGGTGGGAGCTCTAGCCTGGGGGGGGGTCTGTAAGGGTCCCCCGTGCCCTCTGGGTTGGGGACTTGAACCTGGATCTCCTGAGTCCACCATCTAGCCTTCGAACCACAATGTCTCACTGACTCACAACAACCCTGTGAGGTAGGCAAGGCTAGGAGTCTGCAGCTGGCCCAGAGTCACCCAGAGAGCTTCGTGGCTGAGTGGGGGCTAGAACCTAGATCTTCTGAGCCCTGGGCAAACACTAACCACTAGGCCACACTGGCTTTTGATGGGGACTGGGATTTCTGGGTTCCCTGACTAGGCCAAAAGTTCATACTTTGTCTTTGTGTTAGTTTGTTATATGACTGATACCATGGATCAGTCAAATAATATTTGGATTTATGCCCTGTAGATACTTTGTGACTGCAATTCTTATACTGTCTTCCCCTATCAGATAAACCTTTCTGTAAATTCCATGTCATTTTACTGAGTTTTATTGATTGTATTGTGTGTTTGTATTGTGTATGTGTTGCGTGTTGGGGGGGGGGAATACATTTATCAAGCAAGGGTGGGGAAGCAGCCGCCGCTCGATGGTGTCGGATTCCAGCTCCCATCAGCCCCAGGCTAGTGCTTTGGCACTACTTTACAATGAAAAACAGGAAAACATATTCTTACTAATTTCTGAGGATTGGCTGGGGTTTATGGGAGTTGTAGTACAAAACAAAAGGGTACCAGTTTTCCCATCCCTGTTCTAGCTAAATTTCAAACAGGAACAGCAAAAAGGGAGGCGAATCTTTCCAAGCGAGTCTTTGCTCTCTTCACTTCCTGGGGTTTTGTTTTCTTTCCCTCAGGGAGCAGCTCCAATTGTACAGAACATCCCGTTTTGCTGGCCTGGAGTCCAGTTGCTGGCCTGGTGACGCTAAGCACAGCGGCAATGAAAGTTGCTCTGGGGCAAGAGCATCGCCTGGACCCGTTCACAGCTGCACTTCAGCCCCAGGAGAAAACAGATGCGATACGGAAGCGGGCAGGAGCAGGCCGTCGCCATGTTGAGTTTGGGAGCCGTGGGGCATTCTGGGAAAGCTTGGGTCAGGGGAACCTGAGCAAGGAGGGTGGCAACTTGGATGTACACCGCCAGCGCTTCAGGGGTTTCTGCTATCATGAGGCCGAGGGGCCACGGGAGGTTTGCAGCCAGCTTCATATCCTTTGCCGTCAGTGGCTGAAGCCGGAGCAGCACACAAAAACTCAGATCCTTGACTTGGTGGTCCTGGAGCAGTTCCTGGCCATCCTCCCGCTGGAGATGGAGAACTGGGTCAGAGAGAGTGGAGTAGAGACCATTTCCCAGGCTGTCGCTCTGGCAGAACGTTTCCTCCTGAGCCAAGCAGAGGACAAGAAACGCGGAGAGAAGCAGGTAAGAGCGAATTCACAGGAACAAATCTGCTGGCTACCAGTAGAGTTATTCCTGGGACACATCCAGAAGATGCTATACAAAAGGGGTGTCACCGAAGGTGCCACAAAGCTGTTTTTGGTTGCAGCAGGGCTGGTTAAAATGATTAAGGCAATGGTTAAAATGATTAAGGAGTTGGAGCAACTCCCCTAGGTAAAAATGTTTAAAAGTCTGATACTTCAGTTTGAGGCATACTGGGAGGGAAGGCTATAAAAACATGCTTGGAGTAGAGACTGGGGACTGGGAGTAGTTTTACTCCCACTCCCATAATCCTAGAATCCAAAAGGGCCATCCCATGAAGCTGCATGGTGGGAGATTCTGGATGAATAGAAGCTCATCCTACCCCTCGAGATTCCAGATGGATAAAAGAAAGACTTTGTTACACGGTGCAGAGTGAAACTATAGACTGTATCAGCACAAGTGATGGAGTGATGAAATTTAAAAGTACGGGGTTTTTAAAAGGAGTGTTAGACAAATTCATGGTGAAGGCTACCAAGGTTACTAGTCCTCATGGCATTATGCTACGAATCAGAGGCGCTATGCCTGCGTACAGCAGTTGCTCAGGAATGTGGGTCCTGGTTGTGGGTTTCCCATGGGCAGCTCATTGGCCACTGGATGAACAAAATACTGGATTAGGTAGATTTCATTCAGCTTGGCTGTTCTTGTGTTTGTACTGTGATGAAAGTTCGCCCTTCCCCGGCACATTTTAAAACACTAGTAGACTGACTGGGTGGTTGGCTGGCCTGCCCCTTACCCTCTCAGACACCTGCAGCTGGGAAAGCTCCTTTCCCCTCTTGGCTAACTCTGAAGTTTCCATGAGTAGAGAGTGGATGCCTCCAGGCAGGTCTTGGTGTCCTCTTGGGACCTCTCTGCAAACAGAAGGCTGGACTAGACAGGCCTTCGGTCTGATCTCGCAGGCGCTTACATCCTTTGATGACGAGATTTCACTGCCCTGGCCCACCACTTCATTCCAGCCCTGCTGATTCTTGCAGGCATTTGCAAGGGGAGAAAATACTTCCACTCTTTATCTCTCGTTTGTTTTTCTGTTTCTTGACTGGGATCCTGGCTCCCGTTTCAGGTGCAGGAGCCCTACTTGGAGGGACTCACTCCTTCCCCCAAACCTGAGCAGGATACATCACTGATTGCCCATCGGAAAGACCTCCTGATGGCGATGGAGGAGGCTCCGTCGCAGAACATGCCATTGGGTAAGGGTGGATTCTTTTTGCCGGAGTTTCTGAGTGCCTCGAAATTCCCAGGAGAAATTCCAGAACAGTTTCTTTGGATGAATGCTTCCAAGGTTATGATTGGTTATAATAACAACAATACCACTGCCCTTTCATAGAATAGTAGAGTTGGTAGAGGCCATGAAGGCCATCGGGTCCAACCCCCTGCTCTTGCAGGACACCAAGTTACACCATCCCACTCAGAGGACTGTCCAGTTTCTTTTTGAATGTCTCCAGTGTGGGAGAGCCCCACACCTCTCCAGGCAGCTGGTTCCACTGGGTATTGCTCTGACAGTGAGGAAGCTTTTCCTGATATCGAACCTGAATCTGGGTTGCCACAACTTGAACTGATTCTTCCGTGTCCTGCGCTCTGGCATCAGCAAGAGATCTTGACCTTCCTCTTTGGGACAGCCTTTGAGGTACTTATAGAAGGACACCATGTCCCCCCTCAGCCTTCTCTTCTCAAGGCTGAAACATGCCCAGTTCTCTCAGTCTCTCCTCACAGGGCAGTATCTCCGAACCCTGGATCATTTTTGTTGCCCTCCTCTGGACCCTTTCTAATTGTTCTATATCTTTTTAAATTGGACACAGTACTCCAGATGGGGTCTGACCAGTGAGGAGTATAAGGGAACTACTACTTCTCATGATTTGGAAGTAATATGTCTATTCATGCATCCCAAAATAGCATTTGCCCTTTTTGCAGCTGCATCACATTGTTGGCTTATATTTAGCCTGCCGTCCACAACAATTACAAGGTCTTTTTGTATTTGGTTTCTCTTTTCCTGGGTGGAGGACTTGGCACTTGTCCTTTTGTATGTGCCTAGAACACCTAGATTTTATTACATTGAAACTGCATTTATTATTGGTATACCAGCCATCAGTTCAGGTGGAGATTTTAGCCAAGACAATTGACGGGGACTGGAACTTGGAAGGGCAGCCATGAAGGAGCTAGAAGAGATCAGCAAATGTCTCTAGAGACCAAGGCCAGGATCAGCCACAGGCTCGTATTCCCAACCACCATGCAGGGGTGTGTGAGCTGGACAGTGAAGGAAGTCCACGGGAAGAAAGAGGCTGCATCCGAAACATGGTGCTGGGCGAAGCGTTGGTGAATACCTGGTCTGATAAAAGACGAGCAGGTGGGCCCTGGAGCAAATCAAGCCAGATTCACTGAGAAGTGAAAATAACAAAACTGAGGATGTCGTACTTTAGATACATCACGAGAAGTCGAGACTCCCTGGGGAAGACAATCACGCTAGAGAAAATTGAAGGCAGAAGAAGAAGGGGAAAACTAAACAAGAGGTGGATGGACTCCCTAAAGGAAGCCACGCATTGAGCTTACAAGGTCCGAGCGAGGTTCTCAAGCATAGGACATTTTGGAGGGCTTTTGTTCATGGGGGCACCATAAGTCAGAGACAACTTTAGAGTACATAAGAACAACATTATTATTAAAGATGATGATGATGATGATTATAATAAAATAGCTCATAACATTTCAAGCATCCATGCAAGGCCAATGGGCCAAAACTGCCTCCCCCTCCTCGGGTGGTCCCAATTCAAGCTTCTAGGTTCCCCAAATAGCCATGCCTCTCTGGATCAGCACACATTGGTTGATTTTCCAGCTTTTGCACAAGTTTCTTCCCTCTCCTTAAAGGTTCAGATGCCTCCTGTAAGGCTTAGTTACTGCCTTTGACCTCAGATAAGCTGATATTTTGAGTCCTCGAAATACTACTGAAATATGGCCCGAGAACCCTTGGTTGAAAGAGTGTCTCCTGCTTGCTGTAGCGTCTGCCAACATCCAGCACAATGTGCATTAAAAGGGGGCTTCAGTGGCATTTACTGAAATGGCCTTTAGTGCTATTTTCTTGGTGGAAAGGCAGAGTGCGGTTCTGTCCCATTTGGACTGAGCCTTGACACTTCCAGGCACACCCCCGTTCTGAAGAGTTAAAATGCCTCTTTGCAGGCTGAGTTAAACACGACAGGAGTTTCAAGGTATAGTATCCTGTTAATTTTGGCTCTGCTCCTTTTCCCTTGGCTCCTCCCTCTTCTAGAATATGGCCCCCAAGAGCATCTCTGAAATGGAATTCGGCCCTTGGGCTGAAAGATGTTCAACACCTCTGTGCTAAAGTGTGTGTTTCTCTCCATACAGGCAATGGAATGACATCACCGCTACTTCCCAAAATGTCTCCTCCGTGGGGTGGGGCAGAAACAGCAGCTGCACAAGCAGCTCAGGTAAGAGGAGCCGGGTCGGACGGGCACACGCGTGTTCCCGTCTTTGTTATGAAGCTTTGAGCAAACTGGTTTCTTCGCTGCAGTTGGACAGGGGAGATCAGGGTTCAAGTCCCTGGTCAGTCAAAAGATTCATTGGGAGGCCTCCCAAGAAAAACATGAGAGAAGGAGAAACCCATATATTCAAAGTGTGTGGCTGCCCCCCACCCCAGAGTCCGCGTGCATCCCAAATTTATTTGTCTGGTTCCCCCACTGCTCCCTTTGGCATCTTCCGCTGTGAGTTCTCTCACCTTTGGAGAACCCTTGGAAAGCCTGCAGCCTGCCATGTCTGTACTTTCCAGGGATGTCCCTGCCTGGGGTTGGAAGATGGCACCCTCTCCCCACCTGGCCAGAGAGAGCGAGCCCACGTGTGGCTCTGTGTGGGTCCCTCATGTGTACGGACACAGTGATCAGTGTTGATGTTCCCCTGCCCCCCTCAAAAAGGCTTATTCCTTGTCAGCTCTCCCAAATCTAGCAAGAGCCAGTGTGGTGCAGTGGTTAAGAGCGTGGGACTGGGACTCAGGCGATCTGGGTTCGAGTCCCCGCTCAGCCATGGAGCCAACTGGGTGACTTTGGGCCAACCACAGACTCTCCGCCCAATCTACCTCACAGGGTTGTTGTTGTGGGGATAAGATGTAGGAGGAGAATGATGTAAGCTGCCTTGAGCCCTTTGAGGAAAAAGGCAGGATATAAATAGAAAAAAATAAAAAAAATCCAGTCATTTTAGCAGGCTAGACAGAGGGAGTTGAAAGAAGGAAGCAGTGCTGTTTTCATCGGGCAGATATTTTCCTTTGCCCTCCTCATTCCTTTTCCTTCTGTGCTGTGTCTTCACATTGAAAGCCCAGAGGCAGGGACGGTCCCTCTTTTACTAATTATTTCTAAATTGCTCTGGGAACATTTCTGACTGAAGAAACAGGAAAAAGTGTCCCAAGTGCTAATGAAAAAAAACGCTTTAATATTGCTCAGCATGCTTCAGACATGCCGATTTCCTTCTGCAAGGCCTGATCATTGTCTCTTTGGAGTTTTTTCTCTTTTTTCCTCTTTGGCATCCTCCTTCATAGGTATGCCTTCCCCTCTCACTCATCCGCCTTTGCATGCTTGAGGCAGGGATGTTAAGTAAAGAAATCAAATCCTACAGCATCCAAAATGGGCACAAACATCTGCCAACCCCAGGTCAGAGCTTCAACTGCAACATCCCCTTAATAAAACTTCACCCCAAACATGCCACCAAAGAGAGGCTGCAAAGTTCAGCTTATTTTACCAAATGAACGGCCGAAGCCAACAAGCAGGAGAATACACACTTATCCCCAGTACGGTTGTCTCTTCTGGGAGTTCTGACTGCAATTGAATGGTCACATCTTTTCCTTCCTCTTTCAGGGCCCAGTGTCCTTCAGAGAATTGGCCATGGATTTCACAGACCCAGATCCAAAAACTCTGTGCAGGGAAATCACAGAGGAAGATTTCGGGAACTGTTTGGGTATTTATCTATTTAAAATATGTGTAGCTCACCTTTTAGGAGAAGATGCTTCCAAGGTATCCTTCAGCAAATACTTTTATAACAAATGAACCAGCCTTCTCCAATCTGGTACCCTCAAGGGGTGTTGAACTGCAATCCCCATCATTCCCAACCAGCATGGGCAGCAAGGGGAAACCAAGCATGTGTGGTGATGGTGGAGGGAACCAGGAAGTTTTTAAGCTTTAATAACCAGTAAAAGCCAGCCAGAACACTAAAACAGGTGGCACCTTGAAAAACAGTTGTACTTAAAGACAATTCATCACAGTAGTCAGCTAAAACCCGCATTTCATGAAAGCATTAGGAAACAAATAAGATTTTAGAGCCATTTAAACCCTATCCTTGCTGGGCCTTTCTGCAGCTCCTCCAGATCAGAGATCTAAAACGTGGGGCCACTACCAGAAAGGCCCTGTCCCTCTCTTGCCTGCCCTCTTAATGGTTTCTTATAGGCAGCACAAAAGAAGGGCCTCAGATGGAGATCTAAACACGGGCAGGATGGTACAGGTGAAGGAGGTCCTTCAGGCAACTTGGTCCCTAAAGCCTTTAGATCAGGAGCACACACCTGGAGTCTCCACCTGTGGGAAGAATTCTCTGCTTTTTACCCTGTGTTTAAATATGAATTCCTTGTCTTGCTCTTTGTTACTAGTTAAGCTTTCTCGAGGGAGGCCTGCAGCCCCGTGGTGGCAGCACCCGCTTGGTTCCCTCTGGCCTGCCCCAGATCCGGGAGTCTCTTACCAGAAAGGAAAGCCTAATCTGGTGGCCCTGGGTGAACTGGAGGTGGATACTGCAAGAGGGAGCTCTAACGTGGTGGTAGCCCTTTCCTGGGCCAGGCAGGGAATTGCTGTCTTTCTAGTGCCTAATCCTGACCTATGTGTAATTTCAAGCTGCAGAAAAGTGCACGCAAGCGCCGAGATCCTGCTCTTGGTGGGAGTCGGGGGTCAGCCTGGCAGTTTTGGTTCTTTCATGCTTTGCTCCACTGTGCTTTGCTATAGAGTTAGTGTAGAACTGGAGCAGGGAACCTCCTTTCTGATGACAACTGTGCCCCCCTGGGGTTAAAAGGAGAAGAGCCTTCTCAGTGCTTTGACTATGGGATATGCTCCCCAGAGGGGTTGGTCTGGCACCAACTCTTTATTCCTTCCAGAGCCAAACCAAAACCTTTTTATTTAACCAGTATTTTAATTGTTGATATTACTAGAGATCTGATTTAATCCCATTTTAATCAAGCACTGTAAATTGTTCTTATGTTTTTGTTATTGTAAACCATCTCAACATTTCCTTTGAAAATAAACGGTATAGAAAATTTTGAAATATAAGCAAACAAACTAACAAACTTGAAGCTGTAGCTTCCTTCATGGAGTCCATCCATCAAGTATTCCGTCTTTCTCTTCTTCTTCTGCCTTTGATTTTCCTCAGCATGATTGCCCTTCTGCAGTGGGCCTTGTGTTCTCATGATGTGCCCAAAGTTTGGCATGCTTAAGGTAAAAGTGAAGACTCCAAAATTCCCCTTTTTCTCTCATCTCACTCTGCATAGAGTAGGAAAATAATGTTCTCTTCCTTGTGTCCCTCCCTCCCTTCTTTGTGGGAGAGATCAGGATGCAGAATTTGTTACAAATGGTCCAGTTTTTGCCCAGACTGTGTCAGCTGTGGATGGGGAAATTAAAATGATCTCCCATATAAAAAACCCCACAACAGCAGGCTATCAGGAAAGAAACTTTATTAAAATCTGCTAAATTTTTCTCCAGGAGTTCCCTTTGGTATAGTCTAGGACCAGCTGGTCCATCTGATTCTGTTGAATGGGTACAGCAGTGCTGAGACTTTGGCAATGGTGCGGAAGCCAAACCATATCTACAGTACTTCTCTACAGCACTGAATTTGGTTTTATCCCGAATTAAAAGCTTTTTCTACCTGAATGTCCCTGTTTGCTCATAGCAGATTCTTCCATCTTTGTTCCAACAGGTGAGAACTGGGATGGTAAAGCTGATGAAGGACTGTATGAGAAAATCCAATTTCAGGAGATCGATGTGAACATGGTGAGCCAAAATGGACCTAAAACACAGGAGGGAAGCCAAATGGAGAGGTGGAAATCTTCCCAGGGTAGTAACTTCCATGAAATTAAAATTCCGCAAGAAAAGGGAACCAGAAGGAATGTCTGCCCAGCCTTTGGGAAGAGTTTGAATCACAAATCGGACCTTAATGTCCACTGGAGAATTCATACTGAGGAAAAACCATATAAATGCTTGGAATGTGGAAAAAATTTCAGCCAGAGCACACACCTTAGGTTACATCAAAGAATCCACACCGGAGAGAAACCATATAAATGCTTAGTATGTGGGAAAAGCTTCCATCGGAGTTTCATCCTTACTGCCCATCAAAGAATGCACAAAGGAGAGAAACCCTATAATTGCTCAGAGTGTAGCAAGAGCTTCTATGATAGATCACATCTCATTAGCCACCAAAGAACTCACACTGGGGAGAAGCCGTATAAGTGTCTGGAGTGTGGAAAGAACTTCAGTCACAAGGTAAACCTTACTTCTCATCAAAGAATTCACACGGGAGAGAAACCCTATAACTGTTCAGAGTGTGGCAAGAGCTTTTGTGACAAACAGAACCTTCTTAGACACCAAAGAATCCATACAGGAGAGAAACCATACAAATGCTTGGAGTGTGGAAAGAACTTTAGGCAGCGAGCAACCCTTACTTCACATCAAAGAGTCCACACAGGGGAGAGACCGTATCAATGTACAGAGTGTGGAAAGAGCTTTTATAGAAAAGCAGACCTAAATAGACATCTGAGGACTCACAGTGGAGTAGGAAAACCCATCATTTCTTGGAGTGTTGAAATGGCTTCAGATGGTGTATCGATCTTATGTCCCATCAGAGAACTCTCCCAGGAAAACCTCTGTATAACTTCTGAGATTAAGCAAGAACTTAACTGTTAAGTCAGTCCTTATTAATCTCCAAACTGGTGCATCACACTTCTCACCTGCACTTACCCAATAAACTCTCATAAACAAACATAGAAATAACTTTAACCAGAACATACTAAAGGAACAGAAGAAATGCCCTGCTGGATCAGACCAAGTTCTGTCTAGCCAAGCTTTTTCCCATGGTGGCTAACCAGATGAAAACTTTTCCCACTGTTTTGCCCCAACGACTGGTATTCAGAGGCATAATTCCTTGGATCTTGGACAAGCATATATTCCTCATGGCTAGTAGCCACTGGGAGCTTCAACTAAGGTTGGGCCTACTGCAGTGCCTATTGGCCCCTGATGGCCCCCAAAACTGTAAACAATATATATATATATAGTTTTATAAACAAAATGGCCCCAGGAACAGCTCTTTTGAAACATTTTAAAGTCCTCTGTGAGTACTGCAAAGCACCAAAGGGTCAAAATCAGCTTGCTCTACTCCAGATGCCTTTTTTCCTCTGGAGGTGTGGAGCGGGGATGGTCTCTGGGCCTCTCACAGTTGTACAGGCCTGTTTCAAAGCCATCAAAATCGGTGGCTATCACCACATCTTGAGTTAGAGATCCCACATTAGAGAACCAGTGCGGTGCAGTGGTTAAGAGCGTGGGACTGGAACTCAGGCAATCGGGGTTCTAGTCCCTGCTCATGGAGCCAGCTGGGTGACTTTGAGCCAGTCACAGACTCTCAGTTCAGCCTACCTCACAGGGTTGTTGTGTGGATAAGATTGAGAGCAGCAGGAGAACGTTGTAAGCTGCTTTGAGGGAAAAAAAAAGGGGGATATAAATCAAATAAATATTTAATCAATTTCTATTGTGGTTCCTTGCAGTCAAGTTTTGCTCAAGTAAAAAGCCCAAAACTCTGTAATCTCTCATGAGGTACAGCTCCATTCTCCCAATCATTTGGCTTGCCTTTTTCTGGCCCCTTTTCTAAGCCGCTGACCAAAACGCGGCAAAGCATTCCTAGTGTGGCCAAGCTGTAGAGCTGCGCATTCTCTGTTTTAATTTGGTTTTCTTACCTACTGATCCTTAGCATGGAACTGGCCCTTTCCACAGACGCGGTGGGTTGGCCGTTTCGCTGCACCGTCCCGTCGCTAACCAAGGACCGCCTTTCTTGCCAATTGCTGCTGGCGCAACCCCCACCCAACTTGCAGGCTGTACCAAGGCCCCTTACGAGAAACCAGACTTGCGCATGTGCCTTTCCTGAGAGATTTCGTGGGCTATATCTCAGAGGCGATCATGATTCTTCTGTGTCTTATCCTTCTCATCACCTGCAAGGAATGGCTCATGTTTAGCTTTCGATTTCGATTTATATCCTGCCTTTTTCCTACAAAGGGCTCAAGGCAGCTTACATCATTCTCCTCCTCCATCTTATCCCCACAACAACAACCCTGTGAGGTAGGCTGGGCTGAGAGGCTGTGACTGGCCCAAAGTCACCCAGTTGGCTCCATGGCTGAGCGGGACTAGAACCCAGATCGCCTGAGCCCCAATCCCATGCTCTTAACCACTGCACCACACTGGCTCTCCTCTTTCCTCTTGCTTATTTTCCTTTCAGGAATTTTATGATTCCGCTGCGTTTATGTCCCACTCTTTTTCCTCCCGTGAGGAAAAAGCTTCACAACGGCACGCTGTGAGGTAGTTGCATTGCCAGTCTGTGGATAGCCCAAAGTCACCCAGTGGGTTTCATGGCCAAATGTGGACTTGAACCCAGATCTCCTGGGCCCCAGCCCAACACTCTCACAGCTCCACCATGCTGGCTTTCTCTACCCATTTGGTGGCAAGTACTTTGGGCTACTAGCCTTCTTCAACCTTGTGCCTTCCAGAAATGCTTGGGCTGCAAGTCCCAGAATTCCCAGTCAAAGGCCCTGCTGATAGGAATTCTGGGAGTAGCGGTCCAAATACCTCTGAGGCCTCCAGGGTAGGGAAGGCTGGGCTAGGCCTTACCTTTGGAAGCAAGGCATAATCAATCCCTTTAAGTGGTTCAGAATTGCCATTTTTTTCTGGGTAATCATTAAAGTGGGTACTTTCCAGAAGCTGGAGGCTAAAGATGCATAAAGGTATATAAAAACAGAAAGACCTCAGAGAAGCATGTACAATTTGAATTGTTCTGCACCTTTCTAGCAAGAAAACTGGCTCTCCAGGCAGCTATGTAAATACATGCCATTTAAACATTAGCTAAAATGTTTGTGGGACTGTTGGATAACTGTCAAATGCATGCAGGCAAATATGACAGCCCAAGATATGGAAACTTTCAGGGCAGGGATCAATTCAATTTCGGAGAAGCTCTTGGGGTCCTCTTTTTGGTGGTGGATGGCCAGAGGCAAACCATACAGGGCCAAAAATACCAGTATATGGAAGCTTGACTTCTTCCTGCCGATAACAACACCTTAGGAGAGGTGTTTTAACTACACCAAGACTGAAATTCAGCAAGGAAAGGGGATGAGAAGGAATGTTTGTCCGGCCTTTGGAAACGATTTCAGTCAGAACTCAGACCTTCATGTCCCCTGGAGAATTCGCAAGGAGGAGAGGCCCTATAAATGTCCGGAGTCTGGAAATAACTTCAGGGAGCACGGAGGTGACGTCAAAGAATGGGGCCCAAGCCGAGGGCTGCCAAAGCTTAACTAAAACGAGACAGAAATATTGGCGGGCAATTGGCAAAGATCCAGGAGTAGAGGCCCACATTTCTGCCCCTGAAAAAGCATGTTGGGGTTCTTCCTAGAACTGGCATTGCATCTGGATATATCCAGGAGTGTTTGGTATGTGCTGTTCCTTCTTACAGAAGGGAGAACTGCCTGCAATTGTACATGCCTTTGCTGATCCAGATTAGGTTACTACAGTACGCCTTTGATGGGGCTGCCCTTGAGGAGAATTCGGGGTGGTGCTTTTCCAGGTTTCCAGGGCTAATCCACCAATTCACAAGCCTCCTGTTTTTTTTCAGCCCCAGTTCAAGGATCTGGTTATCTAGAATAATAAAATAATATGCACCCATCCATTAACACCGTACCGCCAGATCTTGAAACCTAAAAAACCTGAAATGGACTTTGCAAATCCTTTTCATCTGAATTTTGTAGATTTTCAAGTGCATTTCTTTCTATTGTTTGCTCATTCATGGAACTGGATTTTGCGGGAATGTGTTGGTACAGATGTATGGAAATGAGCATTTATGAAAATGCAACAAACTACCCAAAATATGTATTTTCACATTATGGGGGAACGCATATTTTTTCTTTGGCTTCAAAAAAATTATTTGACTAAGTTTGCATATAATTAGGCAAAATAAAAAAAGAATGGCCCACAAGTCTGTGAACTCTGTGTGACAAGGATCCATAGAAATATGAACTTATTTGTGTTTGTATTGGTTGTGGATTTCTCCAACATCCTTCCTTGGCATCCATACTAAAAGTAATATAGGCATTGGCAGTGCAGGGTTAGTTCTTTTTTGAATGCCTTTATTCATTTTAAAGGGTTTTTATTTGTCCATGGGGATGTGGGTGGCACAGTGGGTTAAACTGTTGAGCCGCTGGGCTGTTGATCGGAAGGTCGGCAGTTCAAATCCCCAAATCCGTGGGAAGGGATGAGCACCTGCTGCTTTGTCCCAGCTCATGCCCACCTAGCAATTCGAAAGCATGCAAATGTGAATAGATAAGTACTACCTTTGGTGGGAAGGGTAACCTTTGGTGTTCCATGCACCTCGCTGTTTAATCATACTGGCCACATGACCACAGAAGCATTTTCAGGCAACGCTGGCTCTTCCGTTTACAAATGGAGGTGAGCACTGGCCCCAGTCAGACATGATTAGCATGAATGTTTGGGGGAGCCAGTGTGGTGTCGTGGTTAAGAGCATGGGACTGGGACTCAGGCGATCCGGGTTCGAGTCCCCGCTCGGCCATGGAGCCAACTGGGTGACTTTGGGCCAGTCACAGACTCTCAGCCCAACCTGCCTCACAGGGTTGTTGTTGTGGAGATAAGATGGAGGAGGAGAATGATGTAAGCTGCCTTGAGCCCTTTGTAGGAAAAAGGCAGGATATAAATCCCAAAATAAATAAATAAACCTTTAACTTTACCTTTAATTTGCCCATGTGGTTGGAATCTGCAGTAACATCTTCCGTCACTAGGCGGCAGGCTTCCCTAACTAGCATATGCAGGTCAAGGGAGATGAGAAGCCTGCACTTCCTTCCAGGTGGGGGGAACAACAGGGCTTCTCCATTCAGGGCCTTCTCAGGGACAGGGCCTTATCTATGGTAGCACCCATTTGTGCAATACCCTCCCAAGAAAGTTTTGACTGACTGAAGTTTTCGCGGATGTTTTTCAGTGAGGCAGCTCAGTTCTCAGGCACTACTCCACCTTCTACATGCTACTTCTGTAGCATAACATAAGGAGAAAGTCACCATGCCCAACCTGGCCAAACCAAATGAAAGTGGAATAGAGACCAGTAGGACTTGAAGGGACCTATCAGGCCTTTGAGTCCAACCCCCTGCTCAAGCCAGGACTCTTTGGCCTCCGTATAGTTCTTTATTCACTGGTTTATTTATTTATTTTTATTTATATTGCGATTTATATCCTGCCTTTTTCCTACAAAGGGCTCAAGGCAGCTTACATCATTCTCCTCCTCCATCTTATCCCCACAACAACAACCCTGTGAGGTAGGGCGGGCTGAGAGTCTGTGACTGGCCCAAAGTCACCCAGTTGGCTCCATGGCTGAGTGGGGACTAGAACCCAGATCCTCTGAGTCCCAGCCCCATGCTCTTAACCACTGCGCCACACTGGCTCTCTGGTTATTTGGGTCCCCTTGTCCATCACGTGAGCATCAGAAGATACCGAGAGCAGAAACTCTTCAGGTGAGC